CTCGAATATGGCCGGAATTGCTCAAATATCCGATCGAAAATCTGGTCAAAACCCTAAGTTCTCCAAACCCCACCAAATTAATACCACGTGACCTCTTCACTTCCCTCATGAGGAATTTGTCATCATTAGCATTCAGATCTCACCAGAAATAGTCAAATTTTGAATCTGAAGAGCTATGCGACTTTGGGAGTTGTACAGATGAGTCCTCTTCCTTTTGTGTTTGATTTTTTGCGCTGTTAAGATTAGGTTAGTTTACAAATAGTATGTTAGGTTTTAGATTAGGTCTGTAGTTACTGTTTCTGAAATTGGATAACTGTTAATTGTATAGCTTAGTTCTCTTCACCTGTCAAACGTTTTGTTTCGTTTTGATCCTCCATCTGGTTTAATTCTGTTTTGTAATCTCCATTTATTTTGATTAGGGAATGCATGTTTAGGACTTAGTTTAATTTTGTTGGAGTCACTCGACATGTTCAGTCGAATTAGTATAGTTTGACATAGGGACTAGCATTTCTGCCTCTGTTTAGTGTAGCTAACAGTCGTTGCTGATTTGATAATCCAATAATTTGACTATTAGCCTATTTTCTTTTGATCAGTTTCAATCAATCTTGTGTGTATTGTTTGTTTCAGTTTAATATGTTTAATCAGTGATTGTTATACTTCAGTGTAATGCCCGGTTCAATTAGTTGTTAATTAGATGAGTTTGGCCATAGCAAATGGATTCAATTAGGGTAGAAAGAGGACTAAAGTCTTTGGGTTTGGGTAGTAATTTCAGGGGATTTCAAGGGGTAGTATAGGCATGGAAAAGGGTAGTTTCACTAAGATTGGTAATTGTTGAAGTAAAGTAAGGGTAGAATAGGAATTGTAATGGGCATAGAACCTTCTAGGATGGACTATAGTGTAGGTTCTAATAAACTTAAGGGAGTTACTTGTGTAACAAGTCAGAAAATAAAGGGGTAAACACTGAAATTAGAATAGGGACTAAGGGGGTAAAGAAAAATCTGAAATTGGATCTTAAGTTCACCTATAAATAGGCATTCATTTGCCTTGAGTAGCAAGTTTTTGGGCAGCCTCTAAACCCGTTCCAAAAGGCATAAAACAGAGTTTCTAAAAATCATAAAAATTCCTTCAAAACAATACTGATCTCAGCATTGAGATCAGAAATAAGCTGGTTGTCGAGTATACTGTTCTATATGTGAAAGTAGCTGCTAAAGAGCTGTTAAGGTCTATTTGAATTGTTGTAAACTGAATCTGAGTAATCGATTTGGTTTTGGACTGCATTGGTGCTTGAAATTGTTAGTGTTTTGGTTCATTGCTGGAATTTCAAACATGTTCCTGAACTTGCTGTGTTGATTGAGTTATTACTGGATTTCAACTTCTTCCTGGGCTGCAGTTGCAACTGTTACTGCTACTGATCTTTTCCTTTTCTTATTTGCAATTACCAGGTACACATTTGAATCTGCCCTGCTGTAACATTAAGCTTGAAATGGAATACAAATGTTCATCTGTTTGATCTTGAAGTGTGCTGTTTGGACTGTGATGTATTGATAGTTAAATAGGTGTTAGGTTTAATCAGCATAGTCAAATCAATTTTGTAGTATGTGTGTATATACTGGACTGTTAACTGGACTATTCGTATGGACTGTGCAGTGAGATTTGATTCTAAGTATAGCAATTCGCATGTTGGAACCTAATGTCTATTTTCTGCAATGAGATTTATGATTGGACTGTTTCGATTTTTGTTTCATGTCAATAGGATTGCCTTAGCAGTTATTTGTATGAACTTTTGGACTTGAACCTCTTAAGTTTGATATCTCCATATTCTTAGTAATCACCTTAGTCTATGTTATTCCGTATATATTTCTGAAATTAGTTGCAGCCAGTAGTAGATACAATGGAACAACTTGAAAGAGGTTCGTTAGCATTTCTCCGTGTGAACTCGCTTAAGTTCCCGTACTAATAGTTGCTAACAGACATTAGCTTAAATAGTCACCACGAAACATTAAAGCTCCTGGTGCATTTACTGATGCATAATGAAGTAAGTATAAAACCAGCAAAATAATTGCCTGATTTACTGATGCATTGGCATAATTCTCTAGTACACATATAAAGTGCATTCTAACGTGGTCCAGAGCTGTTAAAGCTGAACTGGACGGGCCATCTAGGCTTGTTCTCATGGGATGAAGCCTCTGTCCAGTCAGCCTTTCCCGTTATCAAGCAACACTAAAATGGTATTGGGCCAAAGCTAAAGCCCAGGTTTATCCAAAATTTACTGACCCAATATAGAAAGGTTATAGCCACTTTAGGATTCCCTTTAAAATAAATGATAAACGAGACGAGCCTCGCCGAATAAAACACACAAATTGCGGGGCCCTCATTAATTGCTTATATCAAAATATTTAGACTTCGGGATGTGCCATTTAGCGAATTTCATGGCTCCCCGCGCAGTTAATAAACGCGTAGCTACTTTAGGCGCGCATTTTAAATAAAATCACCTTCCTAGAACAGGGGTGCACATTTATGTGACCCAAATCCAAATCTCAACGAAGTCGAAATGTGTTAACAATCACGGGTGCACTGGTGCGACGTGGTGTGAGGCGCATTTCCACGACGTTGCAATTCGTTTAAAAATCGAATAAATAAAAATAAAAGCGGTTTACTAATAAAAGCACATAAGCTAGAACATATTTCGAAATCAGATAAAATCAAAATACAACAGTTGAGCGACCGTGCTAGAACCACGGAACCCGGGAATGCCTAACACCTTCTCCCGGGTTAACAGAATTCCTTACTCGGAGTTCTGGTTCGCGGACTGTTAACAGAGTCATAATTTCCTCGGATCAGGATTCAACAGGTGACTTGGGACACCATTAATTTCCCAAGTGGCGACTCTGAATATTAATAATAAATCCCGTTCCGATTATCACTTCAAGTTGGAAATAACTCCCTTTATTATACCCTTGCGGGTGTAGTAAGTAAAAAGGAGGTGTGACACTGGGCAGGAAAAAAAAGGATATAACGCCATTATTTCTGGCGTTATATCACTCACAGTGTATAACGCCAGAAATAGTGGCGCTATATATTAACGGTGCTGTTACCGTTTATATATAGCGCCACTATTTCTGGCGCTATATACATTTTTGTTACCTTTTTTTTTTTTACACCTACCTATGTGTTTTGAGTCCAAAATACCAACATTTTGGTTTCCGACTCCTAATTCCTGTATTATATTTCCGCATAAGTGTAAATTTATTTCAAGAAAAAAAATTAGGGTAAGGTGCTTCCTTCTTTTGGTGTGTATTTTTGTATTAGAAAGACTTGTATACTCTTATGTTTTGATTTGACATGTCTTGTGTTTTGCTTTATTTATCATAGATCAATTTATATCATTGTTTGTTAAAGGAACAACCCAGTAATTATGAAATCGAGACTTGAAGTGAAGTTCATGAATTTAAAATTTTCTTACTTTATGCCAACTATGTAAAAAACCACAAATAAACATTTAAAATAAATAAATTTACTAAATATTGTACCAATTTATCAATACATAGTTATTAATTATTGGAAAGTCATTAAAGTGAGGAAAAAAGCAGAAAAAAGGAGTGTGTTGTATTTTTAGTAGACAAAATAAGAATCGCATTATTATTTATTTATTTATTTTTGCATTATTTTCCTCTCCACTTTCTCATCAGAAATGATTCCCTCTTGCCATTTTAGGAAGAGAAGTTTGGGCTGATAAAGTATTGGGCTTGGGTCGGTCCTTTTTAGGGAGAAATTCAAAAATAGCCAGATTTGCAAGTGGTTATTCAAAAATAGCCACAATTTCAAAAGTAATCGAAATTTAGCCACTTTTCATGTTAAGATAAATCTGAACGAAAACAATGTTCAAAATCCGAAAAATACTCCAGCATAATATACTGGAGTTCCAGCATAAGTATACTGGAACTCCAATATATTATAATGGAGTTCCAACATAAGTATACTGGAACTCCAGCATATTATAATGGAGTTCCCGCATAAGTATAATGGAGTTCCAGCATAATATACCGGTCCAGTATATTATGCTGGAAGTTCATACACAAGTGCTCCAGTCTCCAGTATATTATGCTGGAACTTTCCGCGTGTTGAAGTTTCAGCATAATATGCTGGGAGTTCATACACAGGTGCATCGATCTCCAGTATATATGTTGGACCGGTCCATGTTGCAGCAAAATAGTGACTAGTTTTCAATCGATCATCAGAAGAAAAATTAGGCCAAAAATTAGGATACATTCTGGGAAAATCAAACTTCCATCGAAGAGAAGCAAATGAAAGGCTTTCATAAAAATTCTCGTAGGACTTCGCAAATGCTGGCTATTTTTAAATGGCCAGTCCGAAAACTGGCTAGCCCGTGCTATTTTAAGTTTTAACCTTTTTTTTAAGTTAATGGGCCTAAGTGGATCATATGAACGTGAAGTAATGATTTTCAATTTTTCATGTTCGGTATCAAACCCACGATTTCTTCTCATACAATCATAGATCATAATTAGTAATTATGGTAACTATAGTAGTATCATTTTACAAACTATAGTTTGACACATGTTTCCTCTACAATTGATGTATTCACCAACTCATATTTTAAAATATGTAATACACCTATATACAAAAAAAAAAAAAAAAAAAATCGGCTATTATTTTTTGGAGCGGCCAAAAAAGTATATTTCTCAAAAATTTTAATATTTGTATTTACCAACTCATTATAATTCTCAAGCTCTTAAAATGGAAGAACTCTACGTATTTACTTTTTATTGCTTTCGTGTCAGCTTTCTGATTGCAGTACCTAGTGTATTTAATTTTGTATTTTTGCTTTGATTTTCTAATCGGTGAGCTTGTTTTTATTGCCCTTCCTTTTACCTACCTTAAGCCGTGCGTACGCACTACCCTTCCTAGACCCCACTTGTGAGATTACACTGGATTTATTGTTGTTGTTGTCGTCCGCTCTGTAATAATTCCGGAATCCAAACTATAATCCAACAATTTTCTTTCAATTTAACAGTTCAACTACTTGTCCCATATTTCATAAGTACAATTGTGAATGAGTCAACAAATACAGTAGAAGAATTAATATGTGAATGAGAAGGCATTCCAACTCAATATAAATATTGTAATATGAAGCAAGCTCATCACACAAACAATTAAGCAGCAAATGAACAACAGTTTTTGAACTCAAGAGCTTGATTGTATGAAATGGTTTGAAGACGATTGAATGAACAGCAAATCGAATATCATGTGGATCTTTAAGAATTGCTTTGAAGACGAGTCTTGATCCACAATTCCAAGTTCTTCAACTCCTCGTTGTTTTTCGAATGAGCAAGACCGGGGTAAGCCTAACGAATATGGAAGACAATGGCTTATTGGCCATACATTCGTGAAAGATAAATGAAACGATCCGATAGCCATGAGTAATTACCTTGAATTCGCAAGTCATACCAGCTCGCTCCAGGAAAGGTGGTCCTGCTTGTCCGGCTTCAAATAGTACTGTCCTATCAGCGATACCATGAGACCACAAAATAGGAGTCTGCTCAAAGAGTTTTGATGTTAGACATTATAAAACGCGGAAACTAATCAACAACAACAACAATAACGACCCAGTAAAATTCCACAAGTGGGGTCTGGGGAGGGTAGTGTGTACGCAGACCTTACCCCTACCACGAAGGAGTAGAGGGGATGTTTCCGCAAAACCCTCGGCTCAAGAAAAACACGGAAACTAATCAAGAAATACAAATCAAATGGTAAGATTGCAGCGCGTGATGTGTGACTTAGGTGCATGTCACGAGTTTGAACCTTCTGGTAATTAAGTGGAGAATTGTCGAGGGGCAAACCAAATTATCCACCGAGTTTCGAACTGTGCACCAGCAGGCCCTCGAGCATTTCTTGATTATTAAAAAAAAAAAAGGTTTCTCGAGATAACATATCTTCCAATCTTCAACATCATTATTCAAATTACAAATAGCCAAATACTATTTGACGGGCATCTCCATACAGGGCGGAGGCACGGTTTTATATATCTAGGTAGAAATGAGGAACAAGTGCTAAATTCGTTCTATAGCATTGTATCATATTGTCATATATACATCCTAAGTAGTGAAACAGTTAGCAGATCAGGGATCATAATAATAAAGTCTTATGTAACCCCTGCCTTTTGCGGCTTTGCACACACTTAAGACTCCCTCCACATAAGAAAGCAACCAACTTTAGGACAAGAATAACATATGCGACTTCAAAACTAAATTTTAGAAAATTATAAGTAGAAGTTAGTATCAGACAATTACCTTTTTAGCTTCAGGAGTTTGTTTCTCTAATATAGAAGAATTAAAGGGGACCCATCCGCTAAATACGGCACCTCCTCCTAGAGTTTTTGGGTACAGAAGAACACTTGCTAATGTTAATGCACCTACAAAATCAAGTATAAGTTGAAAGTTTAGTGTATTTATTAGCAATACGAAAACTTGAGAGGGAGAAAGAGAGAGAGAGAGACCTCCCTGACTAAATCCACATATGAAAACGTTATTAGGATTAGTGCCAGCATCAATTTCTTTATCGATCATTGCATGAACATTCTTAACCGCTTTGAGCAGACCACTATCATCGTTTGGCGAACTCTGGTACATGGTATTAAACATTAAATTATATGGAAAGTGGAAACAATATCAATAAGCATAAGTACAATCATGTCTTTGTTCTGAAGCCACATCTCAGACAACATAAATATAAGAATTTTGATGGAGGTAAAGTATGACTATTCCTCACAAATATCATAGTATTCAACAACATGCTTGTGTTCCAGATGAGACATTATTGCTAATTGTCTACACGTCAAGAGGAATAAGTTTGAAGTATAATAAAGTTATATCTTTGAATTCTCAGTATCATCCATGCAGATAACACCGTTGGGCATGATCACAAGGAATCTTCTTTGAGAAAAGAAAAAGTAAAAGGATATACGAGGAATGAAAGGTGTGAAAGAGAAGAACTTACAGCTGTCACTGGTATTTCATGAATGTCAAACCATGACGGCATGACAGCACCATCTACAGTAAAGTAAGACAAGAAATAGTTTAGACTGTAGATATAATAAGTATCACCAATATTAGAGTGAAAAAGCTGGCAATGTTACCATAATATTTATTTGAAATGAATGTTACCATAATAATATTTACAAATAACACAATCACTATTCCGTTGGAATTTGTTATATTGCGAGATGATAATAAATGGACAAGGTCAAATATCTAGCAAAAGCAATTTCCAGTGAAGGACCAACAATCATACTGTCACTTTAGTAGGAAAACAATTGGAAGACTACAACATCTTACAGACATGTTAGTGTATCAACCCTGCTCAAACATTATTGTCCTTAATGGAGAATCTACATATTCCCTCATGGAAATGAAAGCTCCAGTAGAAAACCAAGCGAGACAGGCATCATAGTATTTCGGCACACATGATGGCGTTAAAAATCTAGTGTTCTTCTTACAAACTTCCTTTGTACCATTTTTAGATACAATAATATGATCCATCATAAAGTTTATGGAGAATGCTCTTTGACGTTGTTGGCCAATTGCACCTAAATCACCGCCAAGCTAATCTTATCGTTAAGAAGCTGTTTTTTTTTTAATTTGCACCGGGTGTCCGAGTCTCTAAGAGCCCCGACTAATCCCGGGATGCACAGGCCCTCGGCAAGGAGTTTCCCGCAAGTGCACCACGGTTAATTCAGGTTTTACCCAGACCGATGGCCCTCAGAAATTGTTTGCACCCAGTGGGTTTCGAACTTGAGACCTTAAAAGGGAGCAAACCCCAAGGCTCAAGTCTATTGCCACCAGGCCAAGCCCAGAGGGTTCGTTAAGAAGCTGTTTTTCACATCCTACTCAGGCTGAAACAACTCAGGCTAGTTTCAGCCTGAGTTGCTTCATTATCTTCCAATATGTCCAGAATGAGATGCAAGATTATCTACGCTAGTAGTTAGACACATCCTTCAGGGAGAAAATTGCTTATATTTATCAATTTGCCTTTGTTGTTGAATAACTGTCATTATACAGAAGGCTATTCCCAGCAGTATTTCGCAAGTCTTGAGCGTTCATCTTAGTCATCTAAGAACTAAAGCTGCTCATCTTTGCCTATAATGGCAAGCATTAACTATCAAAAAGAAAAGTCAAAACAACCAAAAATAAAGGAACTTGATAAAGCTTCTATTTAAGATGGTTCACTAACAAGGGGAACTACACTACAATGGTTAAATCCCTACCCAGAGGGCTAACTTTCCCTCTACGCTACCAACATTCTCCCCCTTTCTACTGAATTGAATGAAAAGGCAAAGGAAAAGGAAAGAACTAACGTAAAAGTCATTAGGTTGGTTTCTCAGAACTTCTCCGTTAACACATTGTTAGAGGAAGAAGAAAATTACATGTTTTGCTATGTTACACTTTACTGTTCAATTTTTTCTTTCTTTTTAATTTTTTGAATCAAAACTACCGACATAATACTGAAGCAGAAACTACATCCCAAAATTGAAATGACTCTAGTCTAGCAAATTTCTCTCATCTCTCGAACTGCGAATTATCTTATAAGGACCAGATGTACAATCCATTCACACCTTCAAAATGAGCTAGAATTTTGATTAACCAGCCGATGAAAGTGGACCTAGTCTACATTGCAAGCAATCCCATCCGCTAGACCCAAAAAGCAATCACAATAAGACCCTCAATCTGTTTGGACCTGAATGATTTCTCTTTTTTTTTTTTTTTTTTTACCAAAACAAAGACTCGTGTTATAAAGACTATCATATCAATAGTGACCATATATGATACGGGTGATTTGCCAACTACAAACCCCATCAAGCGGTAGGCCAAAACCTAAATATTTATCCAATTCGCTTATACCATTTGACCATAGAACGACAATTCCACCAGAACCAATAGAAACAGTTACAACACAACACTACCAAATCAAAGACATAGTGCAATACAGATCATAATTAATAAACTGTGACAAGAGTGCTCTCACTGTGTGTGTGTGTGGGTTCGGGGGGGGGGGGGGGGGGTAACGGTAGTGAACAGTGATCTAAATGACAATATCTTTATCTACTACAGTGATCACGGTGGTCCTGGCCTTATTGGTTCGTCTAATGCAATGTTGATTATTATACTTCAGTTTCACCTTAATTACCATCATATATCTGTATATTTTCATTCTCTTGTTATATTCCTAGGTATGCCTGATGGAGATTTTATCTATGCCGATGATCTGAACAACGCCATTGACCCAAAAATGAAATCTTTATTCGATTTCAGTATACAATTTGACCCAAAAGTGCCATTTCCATTGTCAAGATATAGAAGAATAGAAACAAATACAACACATAACCAGTAATACAATCCACAGGGGATGCCAAAAATGGAATCTTGATGCAATTCCAAAATACCATTTGACCAAAAAATGCCAATTTCACAGTCACATATAAGTATAACCAATAGAAACAAATACAATACACAACCAATAACAAACCCCATCAAGGAGTAGGCTAAAAAATGGAATCTTTATAAATACAACATTTGACCCAAAAATGCCAATTTCACAGCGATCACACAGAACAGAACCAATAGAAACAAATACAATACACTACCAATAACACCATACAAACCCCACCAAAGAGTAGGCGAAAAATGGAATGTTTAGGCAATCCAAATTGCACCAATTTACCCAAAAATACCATTTCCATGGTGATCACACCAAAACCAAAAGAAACAAAAACAATACAAAACCAGTAATACCATACAAAACCCACTACAGGGTAAGCAAAAAATGGAATCTTTATGCAATTCTAACATACCATTTGACTCAAAAATGCCAATTTCACAGTGATCATAAAGAATACAAACAAAAGCAATACACAACCAATAACAAATCCCACCAAGGAGTAGACTAAAAACTGAATCTTTATGCAATTCTAATATACCATTTGACCCAAAAATGCCAATCTCAGAGAGATCATACAGAATACAAACAAAAACAATACACAACCAATAACAAACCCCACCAAGGAGTAGTGATAATAGGTGAATTTGACTATAATCACGCACCAAATAATCACCTTCTTGTGAACTTTTAATGTGGAAAAATGACAATAAAATGCTCTTATTAGTGCTTTTCATGATTTGCAGGTGATATAGGTGTAAGGACTAAGGAGCGGTTTTGGAGTCAACTATTGATGAAAAAAGGCCAATTGTTGAATTTCCCAAGTATCCCATTCAAAACAGGCCGAAATTTCCGGGTACAAGTTCCACCGCGGTTCTACCGCGACCGCGGTGAAACCGCGGTGGAAGGCAGTTTCTGAAAGTTGAAGATTCCGCGAGGGCGTTTGGCCGCGGTTCTACCGCGACCGCGTTAGAACCGCGGTGGGCACAGTAAACTTCAGGGACTTAAGTGTAAAACACGGGATTTTTAGACCTAAACCCTATTTAAAACACTAGACTTCGCCCAAGAGAGGCATGTATTGATTTTTTAGGTTTCTTAGCAAGGAAAACAATTGGGAGCAAGTACTCTAAACATCTTTCTTCCTTTCTTTTGATTTTTATGATGAATTCAAGCGTAGTTTATTCTCCCATATCTATGAGTAGCTAAATTCCTTGTCTAAGGCTTTGATGGAACCTATTGGGTGATGAACTTCTTGTTTATGTGAATACAAATTGCTAGTTTAATCTTTATTTGTTCAACTTCGTGTTCGTTGTAGTTAATTGACAGGATCCTCAATTAGCTGTACCTATTTAGTGTGCATAACTTGGAAAAGAGTGCATATTTAGGGTATTGTTGAACAACACCACTCCTAGATTATTAGAGGAATCTATAATTGCGGGTTTAAAGGCGGGATTAGGAATAACGAAGTCTTAGGTGCAATCTAGATTGAATTGTGCTAAATAAAGCAAGCTAGTGTATCTCGGGAGAGTGCAATAGTAGATTACTGTGATTACTCGGGAGAGATTTGCGGTAAGATTAGCGTTCAAGATTGATAGAGATGAGTGGGTAAATTTGTATGAGCATAAACAGGAGGGATTCCATCAATAGGGGAAATCATTGCCTTAGCTTTGTCCCATAATTGTTTACAACCTTATTAATTTAGTTACAGCCATTTAGTTACTTGCAAGCTAGTTGTTAAAGAACACTCAACTGAGAATTTGAATGTTTGAGAAGCTGGTGCTGAATACTTGGTGGGTTTGAAGATAGCGGTTGATAGGTTAACTCTTTGTGGATTCGACCCTGGGCGTAATACTCGGGTTATATTTGCAACGTCCGCAGAGTTCTTTTTTAGAAGGCATAGTTGGGCGTGATCAAATTTTGGCGCCGTTGCCGGGGAGTTAACGGAATTATCAACTGCCATTGACAGAAATACAAAGATTATTGTTGTATTCAGTTTCTCTCTACCAATTTTTTCATTGAAAATTTGACGGTTGTTGATCTGGGTGCACAGGTGCATGCCTAGAAATTCTACAAGGACTGGAGAACTGCTTGAAGGACTCTCAGACCCCGAGTAGACATTCCGGGCATTGAATCGTGCAAACAAAAGACTTCAACAATCACAAACAACACACCAAACTCGAAAATTGATATGGGACG